ACAACTGAATCACATTGCTGTACACTTGAAACTAACACAACTTTGCAAATTAACTAGACTTCAGTAAAAAAGGAAATCCCCTTATAGATCCTCCCCAGCCTCGGAGGGAGCTGTATTATGATCTCAACATCAGAGAGGAGTGAAGGAGGCAAGAGGTTAAGTACTTTACCCAGGTAGTCAGGGATGGAACCAGGATGTGAACACAGGCCAGGTGACCAAGACACTCAGGGAAAAAGGGAGGGAGGGAGACGGACAGACAGACTGGGGAGGGAGAGTTTACTCTAGCATTGTCTATGTGGAATGAGTTACCGAGAAAGGATTTTTGGTCTCTGGGGATTTGGGGAAAAGACCCTGCAAGCGCCCTGACCTCGCACACTCACAAAGGTGGCTGGGGCCAGTGGGCCCAAAAGCTGCCTCAAACGTGGACCTGCTCTGCGACCCCAGGGAAGCCAGGCCCCTCTCCCAGCCTCCGTTTCCCCACTTGTAACAGCGGGCTGGGCTCATGATTCCCAAGGCCAACCACGTCTTTGCCAACCACTGACCTCTGGGGTCCTGACTGCCCTCGCTTCTGAGGTCGCAGTGTCCGCCGCACCATCCCTCCAGGGCTGGTCGCTTACCAACCTCCCAGCAGCCTGCGCTCTCTTGGCCGGAAGGTCAGAGCCCTGGTTTGGGTGTAAGTGATACCACCTGGTGCTGGTGCGTGGCGAGCACCACCTCCCATCAGCATGAAGCAGGTGGTGCTTCACTCCAGATGACACAGGTGATGAGCCCTCCCAGTCGCAGGACATCAGTAGGAGCAGGTGGAGCAGAGCCGGAATCTGGGGAGATTCCCCACTCTTTCAGGGACTCACGCGCCTTGAGGCAAACTGTCCCCTCCCGAACCTCTCTGTACCTCAGTGTCTCCAACCTCAGAGAATAACACCCCGCTCTGAGGAATGTCCCGGGGCAGAAATGAAAGCCCTTTGTAAACTGTAAAGTGCTTGCCAAACGTAAAGAGAAACAGCTGTATCAGAACAGAACCCACACGTTTTGGATTTTAAAAAGGAAATGTTTATTTTCATGTTATAAGGTGATTACAAACTCCTCTAAAAAAAAAAAAGCAAAGATGAATTTAAAATATAGGTATACATATTTATCTAAAAAGCCAAAGAAGAAAAGAAAACCCCTGCAAAATACAGGGATTCATATCAGAAAACATTTATACATAAAAGCTTGTATACTGCAAGACCGAGTTACACACCAAGGATTTTATTCAAATACAAATGCTCCTCCTCAGAAGAGTCTCTTGTTGGTTGATTTTTTTTTTTTTTTTTTTTTACAAAAGTTTAAAATATCTTAAAAATATTTTGAAGTTTCAAAAAAAGTTCTGGTGAGCCAGACATATTTCTGGAAGGAAGCAAGACCCACATTCTTAGCATTCTCTTGTGCTAAATACAGTCACAGTTGCTGGGGATTTGAAAATTAATTGGGTTAAAAAAAAAAATTAAGCCAACATCTCAGTTTGAAGCCAAGTATATAACAAGATGCTCCAATCCCTCAGGGAACACGGCAGAATAGTCTGTAGTGACACCCGTAAGAGAACAAGGAAACCCAGCTTCCGAGCTGCAGTCTGAAAGCCTGGCACTGAGAGGGGGCACAGAGGAGGTGGGAGAATGCTATTTCCTGGCTTCTGGGTACCTACACCCCCCTCCAAGTTTTGATGTCGGAGCTTTGTTGTTTTGTGGGTTTGTGCTTGCTGGATTTTTGCACAGTGATATTCATAGCATCCACGTGGACAGCCTTGCCTGGCCCACCTGACCTTGGGTTTGAGGGCTGGATGGGACCTCTAGCCGCCTTGAGGGGGTTTCTCTTGGGTCCTTTCCCAGACTGTGTCTGAGGCTTGGTGCGGAAGGGAGGCACGCCTGCCGGAGCACTGCCTGCCCAAAGCGTTGCCCCAGCTGGAGGGGTAGTGCTGGGAGATGTTGGCTGGGGCCCTGACCGCCGTGTGGTGGTACCTGGGGACACAAGAACACGCTGGGCTAGGCTGAGGGGGGCTCCCTCTGCCCTCTGTCTCCCCACTGTCTTGGGGTGTGCTGGGGATCCAGGGTGAGAATGTGGGACCAGAGCTACAGAGAGGGAGCTGTGTATGGCCCAGAAATCATCCAAGGCCACTTCCGGCCACCTGGGAATTTCCCACGTGACCCCAGGCTAAATCCTGTCTGAGGGGCTCTGTCTGGACCCCTCAGTTTCCTGTGGTGCAACAGACGTCTCAGTGCCTCGCTTCCAGACGGCTGCTGAGGGGAGGGTGCCGGGTGGACCGGCTCCCGTCCCACTAAGCCATAGCTTGGGATCCAGCTGGCCCATGGGCATGGTCACAGGGTGGGTTGCAGCTCACCGCGTCCCTGAACTCTGGGGACGGAGCATGTCCTTTTTCATAAAGGCTGGTCTTTGGTCTTCAGGGAGAACATGCCCCTTTGACAACGAGGGTGCTGACCGGGGGGCCCAGGAAGCCTATCAGTGACCGTACGGTTCCACCATAGGGACTAACAGGGCCCAGACCCAGCTGGACAGAGCATCTCCCCAGGTGAGATTATCCTGGGGCCATTACCCATTTCTGCATGCTAAAAACATCCTTTAAACCTCTCTCTTGCATCCCTTCCAGATCTGGCTGCAAGGATCAGAATTTCCAACCCATCCCAGGCAGAGCATGAATGGCAGACTGCCCAGAGACAGGCGGACCAGAGCCGTGAGCTCCAATGACAAGTTTCCTTTATGTGGAGACATAGAAGTCACACACCATTACACATTGTACTCACAGAGCAGAGTTCTGCTGATACACAAGAGCTAGGGTATCAGACAGGAGGGTCACAAGTGGAGACAGGTGCTCGGGAGATGGGCGAGGGTCAGGCTTGGGAAAGTGGCTGACCTTCCTTCCAGGCGGGGCCTGGGGACTTGGTCTGCGTGTGTCTTTGGTCTAGAATTTGGTCTGAGAATCTTATAAGAAGAGGCCTTTTTCGGGCTATTTCCAGAATGTTGCAATTTGCCTACCAACCCGAAACACTGTGGCCCTCCTCGCCCCCGCACGTAACCTGTCCCCAGTCATCGACAGTGGTTAGTTTACTAAAGTTCCGTAAGACAAAGGAGAACAGGTCACATTCCTACTTGATAAAATTAGGAAAAAACCCCAAAACAATACAATCAAATCAGACACAGTAGCAACCATAAACGCATCGTAAAACAGGCACACAGACTTGCTGACGGTTTGGAATAGGATTGGGTGCTGTTTGGCAGGGTATATGTTTTGGAGACAGCGGACTGTGAATGCTTGCTAAAGACGAGAGGTTCAGAATCGTCTCTGCCCCTTGGGAGGGGGACACCAGAGACTCCTCCCCTGCCCGGATTTAGGGAGGGGGGTCCCAGGATTCAGAGAGCCCCTGCTCTGAACGCCAGAGCCGGATCCTGCTCTCCACACCCCCGAGGCAGTCACTGCTGTTTGCGCGTGACAACATTTCAGTTTACTTTACACCCTGAACTTGGAAGTTTCTGTTTAAATGGCACAGTTTAGATCCAAATGAGGGCTGGGTGGAGGTGTGTCCGTACTTGGGATTTTAAAGGTGGAGTGCCTTCCGTCCTGGTTCAGGGAGGAACGCCGGTTCTGGGGTGCCTGCCCCCGAACAACCCTGACTCACCTCCTGACCTCGATCCCGACATAGTGCGTACCCGACCCCAGCTTTTGCGGGGAAGGGGGAATATAGAGTTTCCTTATCTCCCAGGTTACCAGCGTGGGTTTTACTTGTGCCTGAATTTGCAGGAAAGTTTGGGGATCACCTTGCTCCAATGAAAGCTCGCTCCTGGCACTCCCTGCTAGGCGCCAGGACGGCCCCAGGGCGGCCCCAGGCTGGGGTCTTCAACAAGAGCCTCTGAGATGAATACAGAGCTGAGGGTGGAGAGCTGAGGAAAGAAGAGCACCGCCCGCTCCCCCAAATCAGGTGCCGGGCGCCTGGGGCCACGTCCTTTGGTCCACTTGCTCACCCCTCGCCCCTCACCAAATACGTACACCACGCTTCCCCTACAAGCAGCTGTGAGAGATGCCGGCTGGGGGAACAACCAGAACCTGATCGGAATCCCCATCCAGGCCACAGCCCCATCTGTGTGAGGTCTGCAGCCCTGAGACCCCCGGCTCGTGCTGGGCAGCCTCCACTCCCTCCCTGGAACGCGCCAGGAAGGACGCCGCTCCCTCGCACACGGGCAGTTCTGACAGCCCTTCTGACTATCCCTGCCTCAGTCTCGAAATAAAAGGGACTCTGCTCTTGATGCCATGGTTCCCAGTGCTCTCAGCATCACACTTTTCCTGTTGGGCCTCATCTGTGGGCTTTGAGTCCCTTTACATTTGAGGGGTTGGTTCATTATTTTGGCATCTCTCTTGTTGGCTAAGACAAGTGTCGTGAGGCGTCTCCCGACAGCCTTCCTTTCTCCAGCCCCTCGGGGTCTGGCCAGATAGCTGTTTGCTTCACTTGAACCAGGTTGGTAAGGTACTACACCTTTAAAATGGGTCTGCTGTCCCAGGAAAATTCCACCCTGCATTTTGGGGGCAGAACTTTCTGCCAGCTACACAGCACCGAAGAATTGCTTTTGAAAACAAGATCTATTGCTGGCAAGATCAATTCAAGTGGTAAAAGTGTAGGACAATCTCTACGTGTATACATAGTAATATGTTAAAAAAAAATACAAAGAAAAATTGACCAAGTTCCCATAAAATACATCTAATTCCATATGAAAGCTCTGCCTCACCCCGGGCAGCTGCCTGTGGGTATTCTTTTTGTACAAAATATCCCCAAATCAAAACAAAATACACATACACACGACATCTCACACACACACACACGCACACGCACACACAAACATTTTCTGTGACAATTAAAAAAAAATCCTAGTGCAAATATAAAGCTCTGTAAACCTGGTCCTATAAGAATCTAATGTTAGTAAACAGCAGGAAAGCAGCCCGTCGACTGGGAGAGAGCTCACATCATGGTCTCCACTATGATGTGGGTTGGTTTCCTGAGCGTGCTGTTAACGGACATGCGGGAGCTGTAGGGCATCGCCCCCTCTCGCTCCACGGCCCAACGGTTGGGTTCCCTCGGTGTCAGCAGGTACTTGAGTCTCTGGAGGAAGAAGGGGACAGGCACGGGGAGGCAGGTCAGCGGCCCGGTTTCCTTCACCTCGGGTCCTGCCAGTGTGCTCTGTGGCCTTTGCCAAACTAGTACCCTCTCTGGACCACCCATTTCACCCACTGGCAAATAGAGGACTTGAACTAAGGTCCCTCCAGGCCCTGAATGAGGGCAGAGTGCCCGCCGGTAGTTTCCTTGGCCAAGCCCTGCTTACACACCTCAGGGACAGGGGACTCACGCCTCCAAACTCCTTCCCCCTTCTTTGTCCCATGGAGCTGAAATACAGCTCCTTGTGATTGATTCTCGTTCCCCTATTTCTCTGACTTGCAAAGCAGCTGCGTTTCTGCAATTTGTATGCCCGAGGCTGGGTAACTGTCTTGAGCCTCCCATGGCTCCCACTTTCCCCGAGGAGAACCTCCGTCTCCCACAAGCTGCATGTCCTGCCTTCTCCATTTCCCCACTGAGGGCCTGGAGACCACTGCCTGGGTCTGCGCTGCCCCTCCCGACAGAGGGGCCAGAGGCTGGACCACTGCCAGGCACACGGCAGTTTGTCCTCCCCAGGTTGCCAGATAATAGGATCAGGAAGGGAAAG